GCTGAGACATTATGGCGCAAGTTAAGACCTTCGGGGCGTATTACATGTCTGGGTGATAATGTTTATTTCTTTCTGGTCTTCGAATTTGTGTAAATAATTCCGCTGTAGGAACGAGGGGGGTGTTAAAGACAAAATACGACATGTTTATAGTTGAATATAAATGATCATTTATACACTAAAACATGATAGCTTTTTATACTGGAATCATCTAATCATAAACCAAGGCCAGATAAGCTGATGGCGGCATTTCTTTATTATTACATGTCTACGATGAGTGACGACATGAATTCAGAATATCGATAATCAGACATGTATGGCATTCTTTTAGTTGCTTTAGAGATTACTTATCCTTTTAAAGAGTTGTTGAACTTGATGCCGATTATTTCGTTTATACAACACTGGTACACGAGTAGAAGTCTGAAACTGAGATTTGTGAATGAACTAAGACATTAAATCAATGTCCATTCATGACTATGATTTTTGTGTCTTGAACGTTACACAATACTCTATACGAAACTCGAGTAACTCATTATCTCTACTTCAGTTCTTGGGAGTAAACGATTTCGATTAGCTAACTATTTTGGTTTCAGATAAACGCTTTTATTTGTTGATTTAAAGGATTGAACGAACAATTTAACCGTTACGAGCATAGAAACATATGATTATAGTTGTATCTGATCTCCGGGTCTATTTACTTAAGTTCTATACTTGACTAATGTCATGGTTCCAGGGTTTCAAAGTGGGGCAATTGATACGCGGGCGATTGTTTTCGGAGTGTTTTAATGGGGAATATCCGTTCCTTAATGGTTTAAACAGACATATAAGTAGAAATAGAAAATCAGTCAAAGATTTTTACTAATAATAAATAATTGCTTTGTTATAAAATGGTTTACACTGTAAATAATATTTGTGTATTTTTACCGTAAATTGACTGGCAGAAAGTGAAATGAAATGAAATGAAATGAAATGAAATGGGGTTTAACGTCCTATTGTTCTACTCCTAACCTGGGCTAATGAAGACGGGCATAAGCCCATACAGTGTGCTATGAGGGAAATTTTGCCCGGGCAGTTTCTCTACGGCATACTCTTATATCGAATTCCAACTGCCAAGGGATCTTTTACGTGCACGCCAATGTGTAAACGGGACCTCGGTTTTTCGTCCCATCCGAACGACTAGACAGCTGTCCTTGTCAGGCCCTCCGTCCTGCATCACTGACAAGGGGAAACCACGCCGGAAAATCTGGATGAACTTTCTCGACCAATGCAGGGATCGACTGGCAGAAAGTTGCCAGTAAAATGACTGTATTTAAACACTGACTTGTAAATTTACATCTAAGTGGTAGATTTAGATTTACAAACAGCATGTAAATTTACAGTGAGGGAAGGGAATAACCGATGTAGTCACTATTCGACAGTTAATTTAAAGTTTGCTGTAAAAATAATAATTCAAATGGCAATTCTGTTAATATACAGTTCACATAATGTAAACTGACATAATATGGTTGTATTTCTACATTACGTTTGATGTAATCTTACATAAGCCTTGTATTCATATGCATTTTAGTTAACAAACCATGTGATATTCCACATAGGTCACTGTATTTTAAGTATACTTATAACTGTAAATATATATATACTTTTAACAGTTTAATAGGACTCTTTTACGTGCACACCAATGTGTACACGGAACCTCGGTGTTTCGTCCCATCCGAACGAATAGACAGCTATCCTTGTCCGGCCTGATGAACTTTCCCAAAGCAGGTATCGAACACCCGACCTCCAGGCTAGCGAGCCAGCGTCTTACCCACTTAGCCACCGAGACCCCCCCCCCCATAAGTGAACTATAGACGAAAAGTAATGAAGCCTTAAAAGGTCTTTCAATGTTTTAACAAAGTTCTAAAGAGATGGGGCCGTACTATATACCGGAAATCACCGGAAACACTGGAAAACAACCGAAAAACACCGGAAAACAACCGGAAAGCACCATTTTATACTGAATACCGGAAAACACCGGAAAACACTAAATACCGGAAAACACCCTAAATACCGGAAAACACCCTAAATACTGGAAAACACCCTAAAAAGGTAACCCGGGGCCTGTTCCTCTGTGTGCGGTTTTGGACCAAGTGAGCGCCGATGAAGGAAAGTCAAGGTCATTACGATGTTCGTTTTACAAATAGCCCCCCCCCCCCAAAAAAAAAAAATAAAAAAAAATTCCCATTTTTTTTCTCCAAAATTTTGTTGATGCCTATTATGTTTTGAATGTTTTAAAATACGCAATCAGTCTACCTCCATCATTGACCATATTTTATTTTGTATTTTAATTTTAGTTTTCAGTAAATTTCGGTAGATTTCAGTGTTTCAGTATTTCAGTAGATTAAACACTGCCCTCGGAGGGCCCCATTATATGCCGGTTGTGCCGGTCTCCTGATCCTTGCCAGTAACGCTGGCATCAGGGTGGTACGAATTAGTGGAAGGCACGACTAGGCCAACTCCTCCCTAGGTAACAAAAAATCGCATCATAAAACAGCAAGTATCATCAAAAGCGAGTTAATAAATCTCTGAATAGTTGGAGTTGAACTTCCAGGTTTAACCGCTATGTGTCCTAATCACCAAACGAAATTGATGCCACGCAATTCTCGGACAGGCTGTAATCTGAAAAGTGTCTATCCTTTCCAAGAGCTATCCATCTCGTTGGAAGGGCTAACAATCTACTTGTTTCTGAGCTTACTTTCATTCCAGGGTCAAATATAATCACTTGAACCATAATAATATTCAACATATTCCATCATATTCCGAGGGCCGCACACAGGATTTTTTTCTGGATTACTTTTCGAGCTTTTTTTCCCAACTTGTTGACCAGTTTTCCTTGAGAAAACCCCAACTTTCGCCCAATTGTCCATGAGAAAACTACATATTATATCTATATTCTATAAATTTTATTGTTAATTTACCAATTTTACAGTAATCCCATGTTACCGCACTAATACAGTAAATTTATAGTATAAAAACATGCAGTAGTATTTTTACAGCGTTATGTTAAAGAAATTACATATTTTACACTGTAATTTTACATTTATTTTTGACAGTGTAGGGAAGTGTATTTTTAAAGAAAAATGAAAATAAAAATGAAGCAACATGATAAGTCAATTTTTAGCTGTTATTAAATAAGTTCTAAATGAAAATTGGAAACCAAATTGACACCAAACTATAGCTTAAATATTTACTTCTGTAATACAGTTCAGAAGAAAATAAGTCTGACACCTTTACAGTTGATGTTTCAATTGCGCTGAGTCACTTTGTCTATAAATATTTAAAACAAAACCAGGGTTAATCCATCAATCTATAGAATTTATATTACGTCATTGCTATATCTTTTTAAAAATTATCACTAATGAAAATCCAGAAAATATTGATTAACTTTTACAAAACTATTTAATTTGAATCCATAGAGTAGTAGATTCGTATGTCTTTTGAAATAAAAATTGCATTTGCAATCTTTCGACAACATGCCAGCAAACATGAAGGCGAAACAATGCAAATTCAACTCTTTTCGAAGTGTTGATGAGAAGTCGACGAACAAAGATCATATTGTCCTTATAGTTGTTCGCCGGTAAGCAGTTTTATTGAAGTTGACATAAAGTTCATGTCATATTATGATTATTATTGATTTTGTTATTGTTTCTTGTGAACCGTAGGGGTGTTTACTTGGCCTCGAGGGGCGCTTACTTGGTCTTCATGGGGGGGGGGGGGCTTATATCCACGTTTTGATAATGTACACGTTGCTTAAGGGAAATAAAAACCCATTGACCGAAAATCTAAAGCTAACATTTACAGCGAGTGTAAGTTATTAGAAATGAAATGAAATGAAATGGGGTTTAACGTCCTACTGTTTTGCTCCGAACTTGGCTAATGAAGACGGTCATACGCCATACAGTGTGCTATGAGTGAAATTTTGCCCGGACAGCGGCACTGCGGCCTACTCTTATATCGAATTCCACGAATTCCAACTGTCAAGGGTTCTTTTACGTGCACGCCAATGTGTACACGGGACCTCGGTTTTTCGTCTCATCCGAAAGACTAGACTGCTGTCACTGTCAGGCCCTCCGTCCTGCATCACTGACAAGGGAGAACCATGCCGGAAAATCTGGATGAACTTTCTCGGCCAATGCAGGGATCGAACACCCGACCTCCAGGCTAGCGAGCCAGCGTCTTACCCACTTAGCCACGTGATCCCCATAAGTTATTAGTAAGATATATACATACCTACGTGTGGATGTTATTTAGACTTCATTCTTTATTAACCCGGTCGGGGCAGAAAAGTAGGACATTAAAACTCATTTCATTCATTCATGTTATTTAATTGAATACACTGCGGTAGTGTTCAGTTGCTGTAACCATAATCCTAGTATTATCATTAATAGTTACACAAGCTATATATGCGACTGATATTTAGGTATTGCAGGTCAGACATCTACACACAGCTTAATAATCACATTTAAACATTTCAGTGTATCCAGTGCCATAATAACGGTTCCAATAGTTGGATAGCAGAATAAAACGTTCTTATCTCCCTTGATTGTTTGAGCCATCGTATGTCCATAAATAAGCGTATGGATCGCTAAAACCCATAATAAGTATACATTTAGCAAAAAGTCAGACTTCCCGCATGCATTTGCTGGTGAACTAGAGGAGAAGTAGATTTCAACTTAAACGTGACAGTAGGCCTATAGTTACATTGTGATTGTGTTGTCTAGTGGTCTGAAGCCATGAGCTTTATAGGATCTTTGTAGCCCTGTGGGTTTTCTCCAGGGAGGGAACTGGAGAACCCGAAGAAAAAAAAAACACAATGGTACGCAGGCGACCTTACTTTTTATCAGTGATATATCACGCTCAAGCATGGAATCGAAACCACGACACTTACATTGGTGACCAACCGTATATTATAACCCACCACCCTACCGTATACCTTCCCGGTTTTGTATTACTAATGCGCAGGTATTGAGAGAACTGGTTGCTTGGAGGACACATACGTATTATTAACAGCTATTTACGCGTAGGTATCGTTTATCAAGCAAAATATATCAAATTTTACAAATATATTCACATATATAATATGCTTTGGGGCTATATATAGTAGCGTGTCTTATTTATAATAGTTACGATATGATATGAAATGGTACGTCTGCACCAACCGGTCTATATTGCACCAAATATGGTGATTTTAACGAGATACACTAAATAATACCACAGTAATAAATTGATTCGCATACATAAAAAAAAAATATAGCACAGGTAAGTAAATAAATTAAAATTCAATATTTCAATTCTTTTATGTATCTAAATATCTAAAATATAAAAAAAACCAGGTTATATAAATATACAATTAAAATTTATACTAAAAAATTGTCTCTTTTTAAAAGTTCAACATTGTAAATGCCCGGTTGGGCAAATGACTTGTGCAATGTCAAGGTATGTCTATATCTTATAAGGAAACTAAGTCATTAGCGCCATGAAAAAAATCCGCCTTAAACATAATGTATATGCACACAATAGTTGACGACTGTATATAATAAGACATTTGTGTATATTATAAGTAATAAAAGCCGTTTATTTGCTTACATATTATTTATGTATTATCTATATTTGAATGGCTGGGGTTTACAATTGAATTGTATTAATCACACACCCGACAATAGAGACAGGGCTGACTATTTTCATTATGAAGAAAAAAACAACAAATGCGGATTTTGTCTATTTAGTGAAGGGTCGTAAAGCCAACCCTGGTCGCTTAGTGTAGCCAACAGCAATGGGCGAAAATCCCAAAGGTATGTTTGAGTTTCTATTCAAATTTGACGTAACCCATATTTTAAATAAAAAAAAGAAATTTCTTTAAGTGCATATTAATAGCAATTGTGGGCACTATTAATATCTATATACATTACATTAGTAACTTATTTTAATCGTTGGATAAAGGACGGACTGTTCTAGATCTAAAGGTGGGTCAAATTTCTTTTTATTTCAATGAAACATTAGAGTTGATTCAAACTTGACCAATAAAACAGAACATACGTTCGATATGAATATTTTATTATTTGAAGAGAAAGAATTATTGTTTTAACATTTAAATACAGGAACAAGAAGAAACTTTGCTAACTAAATTACGAGTACTTAAGGAAAAACTCGAACATTCCCTAATTAACTAGGACGCATAGGCATACTATTGGGACATAGGACAACTTTTTTAAGGGTCTCAATATTTTAATTAGGTGAAAATAAGAATATTTATTCAATTAGTTTTGAATTAATATACTACGTGCAATGAAAAGATAGACACACACCTTTTACTTCAAGTAGCTAAGTCTCTAACTCATTATCATCTCTATAGTCTTCGACATTGAAAACCCGGATTATTTGTCAATTCAAATCAACACTGATGTTGTAATCCTACCGGAAAATGGTAGGCTTCTGATATCCAATATTTAAGACAAAATAAACATTTTACCATTGGTACACGCATCGTGTACCATAATGCGTTTCAGCGCCATTTGTAACAAGCGATTCGAAGAACGAGACTAGACATATTCCACAAGTCATGCCACGCCATATTCTTATCTGAAGAGCATGTGCGATAAATACTATCGGTGTAGACTGGAATAACCAGAAGCTAGAGATTACAATTTCATTTAGACTTCTCCCGTATTTCGCCGAACATAACTGATTAGAAATTACGGTAAAAACAGAAACGATTGCGTGTAAATCAGTTTATATACACATGTACATTCTTATTACATTATTATATACGTTGCGATCTATTTGTGTCAATCTCTAGGTCCCAATTATTAGCGATTTAGCGCCTTTAAGATTAGCAACTATTGCAATGAACTACACGTTATCGGAAATACTATACAGTTTCAAATACTACCTTTCATTTGAGGAGCTCACAAGATAAGGAATTTTTGGGCACCGTGTTATTATCCACTTGTTCTTGTTCAGTTCATAGAAAATATTGTGTAGTTTGTCATATTATCATGATTGATTTGCGGCAGTGTGTCCCCTTTATATACTCTTGTGGAAATGGAATAGTGTTTAATGGTCTACTTTTCGGCACCGACTGGGCTAATGACGACGGGAGACCCATTGACCAAGAAACATCTTGTTACCCTGATGACCAAGAATGTCCGACCAACAATTGAAACCTAAATGCAATGAATTTGGGAAATGGCTATACTCTACCAATTTGGATTCTCTTGCCGATCACATTATCTCCGTATACTATTTCATCATGCGGTCAATTTGTAACAGTGAAGTTATAGTGACATAGTTTTCTTTCGGTGGGTAAAACAATTCTGATATCGCAAGTGAGAACACTTAGTGATTTCTCCGCTAGACTCAAAATTATTTCTTAGCAGCATCACCTTCAAGTTTTTTTCTGGTAAACTCGTGTTTTTTTGTTTTTTTGTTTTTTTTTTGTGATGATTGAAAAGTTTTAATTACGACGTTTCGGCTTAACCATAACTCAAACCCTAACCCTAGTCTGTCAATATAGATGAAACGAACCTTTTTTATTCAAATTAAATAGTGCAGTTAATACAATAAAGTTAACAGTTATGATATCAAATTTCAGAACACTTTGAAGTTTTAATTTTATTCTCCGATTGGATGCGCCCCACCCCTGATTTGGATGACCGGGGCCAAATCCCCCTTTTGCACCCTCTCTGCACGCCACTGACAAGTTACAACCTATTTAATTAATCTACGTAGACGTAACCTTTGTGAATGGAACGTCGGTCACAGATTGTTTTTGGCATTACACACGGAACCGTAGTCGTAAAATTGGGATGGTCCAGAAATTTCAAGAGGAGTTGGGTTGCCGAATGGTTAACGCGTGCGCGTTAAGTCATAAAGCCTGTCATTGAGTTAAGTGACGTGGTTTCGATTCCCGCTTGAAGGTGACAAGGAGTAGAGTCACCTGTCCAACCTCGTTGGTTTTCTCCGGGTCCTCCTACTGTTAAAGACCCCAAAGAGCAAGCGTATTATTGAAATAAAATTGATCCATATGTTAGTGGCGAAATGACCTAGTTTGTGTCTAGGGGACGTTAAACCCATTTCACTACTACTCCGATAAATAAATATGACTAAAGTTTTAAGGATTTGTCATCATCCATCTCCTGGTATTGATGGAAATAGTCATAGGAGAGTTACCTCCCTGGTTTATAAACAGACGTATTAAGACATATCTTTTATATTTTATCGAACTTTAATCTTTGGGATTATGATGGATTAGGTTAGGTAATTACAGGATTATCATCCATTGTATCTCTCTGTGACTGCCATATCCAAATTCTAAAACATAAAACTAATTAACCATGTAGAATAATTTTATGAAAGTATTGCTAAAGAAAATGTGCGTGAGTGCAGATTAAACTAAAGAAATAAGTTGGCTATATTGTATAGCCTATTTAGGATTGTAACATGCACATATTAGAAACAGCTTATACAGGTTTCCTTTTATTAAATGCCGGTAAGGAGATATCAATTAGTGTGTACTTTATTGAACCCCGTAAACGAAATATGGAGAGAAAGTATTGTTGATCAATAATAATACACCACACCTGTAGGGAGGGTAAGTACTCATATTCACAAAGGGATCAAAACGATAAATATTATGTCTAGCAGTTGTTGTAAGTACTTATAAATATAAACAAAAAAATCAAAACACTAAAATAGCGTTTTGGTATAGTCTTATTAGTAACGACGAATAAAGAAGAATAATCAACAATTATCTGTATTTTAAATCAAATGAAATGGGGTTGAACGGCTTACTTTTCTGCACCGACTGCGCTAAAGTAGACGGGCATACACTATACAGTGAGCTATGAGGGAAATTCATTACTCTTACTCCAACTAACAAAGGTTCTTTTACGTGCACGCCAATGTGTAAACAGGACTTCGGTTTTTCGACCCACCAACTGAAACGGGCATGCCCTTTCCAGTGTGCTACTGGAGGCGTGAGGAGGGGGGGGGGTATTACCAGTCAAGGGTTATTTACGTGCCAGTGTAGAGACTGGAACTCATTTTTTGTATCCTCTGCACGATTAGACACCGTCCTTCTCTTTCGGGCTACGATTGAAATTCTTAGTCGCATTGTAAAGATTGGGAAGGTCTTCTTGGATCGCGAAGGTCGCCGTCAGGTCTTGGTGAATCGGGAGCAGGTCTTGTTGAAAAGGTATCAACTCAACCTCTAAAGCCCCCATCACACCAAAACACGACCTATATTTTGAGTCGCGTTGTAAAGCTGGAGAAGGCCTTTGTGGATCGCGAAGGTCGCCGTCAGGTCTTGGTGAATCGGGAGCAGGTCTTGTTAAAAAGACATCAACTCGACCCTTCCCGACGAGTGTACGTGACGGTCCATATTGCCAACTAAATATCTATCGAGCTACTGACCCCTATACGCTTCCATAGAAAATGGCTTGTAGTTTCATATTGTGTCTGGTGAACATCTCGTTGTCTTGTTGCATCGCATCGGGATCACGTTCGGTCGTGTTAAGGTCTTCTTAGATCGCGTTGGTCGTGTTGAGAGCGTGCTGAGGTCTTGTTTGACCGAGTTTGTTGGTCCCGGAGACTGGTTGAAGTAATTCCAAATTTGAACTGCGATTATACTCGACCTGCCAGAAATTATGAGTCTCCTTAGATCGCCAAACTTTTTAGACCACATCGAGCTTTGATCTGACGGAGGCTTATCATACGTATCCGACCGTATCTGCACGTACCCGATCTTGGACTCAATCACGACAATTATGCAAGAGCTAAATCTGCCTATGCAGTTCCTTTTTTAGGCCTGAATGTTATCTAAATTATTAATTATACATTATTAACTTATCCATAACATAATCAACTCTCGATGCCATCGCTAGCCTGCGAGATTTAGCGGATTGAAATACATTTTTTCAAAAATAATTAAACGTAAAAATGGATAATCGAGACATTGTTTTTTTTTTATCGTACCGACTTTAGTAATGATAATCGAGGCTAGCCTAAACTTCAAAAGCTATA